TGGCATTAGGATTTGTTCATCACTTTGATGTAGGACCGATCTTGAGTATATACATTAATACACACACACACACACAAGTAAATGTATCATGGCCAATATGGAAGGGAAACAGTCAAATCATTCTTTATAGTTTTCTATTTTTGAGTATACATAAGTGGTAGAGCCGGACAGTCTGATTTGATGTTTGTTAACTTGAGACTTTTACAAGAAAGAGTTCCAGCTGTGATGATGTCCAGCATGTTATGGACGAAAGTTCAGCCCGTTTTCATCCGAAACGAGGGAGGATGTATCGTGAAATACGTCAAAATTAACGTCGTTTTAAAGTTGAACGGCTGCAGGACAATGTGAATCAGTTGTTGTCTTCAGCTGAGATCAACCAACAAATCACTTTCATACGAAATGTTATCTTGAGAGATCTATCAGTAATACAGTTATTCTTCATATCTACAAAGATTGTGTTTGCCTAAGCGAGAAACGCACTGAAGTTAATTTTTCATGTTTGCTTCCGAAAAATGCATCCTTGAAGCGAGACAACATGATTCTATTGTTTTAGTATTGGACATAGGCCGCCGAGAAGCAATGTCAAAAAACTCGATGCTGTACCGCTATGAAGCATATTTCTTCACTCAGCTCTAAAACGGATTCGAAGCCCAGCTCAGCTATACTTTTGTCTCCACTTGTCACATTCTATAAGCATCACAATCCCAATCCCTCTCGTCGAGCAATGGTCTGCTTCTGCCACGAAGTCTGCGTCACCGATTATTCTAATTGCGTCTGTCGTCCAACAGACTCGCCGGATTTCGTGTCGTTTGTCTGAGCTTGACACAATGTGCTCCAGGATAATCTGTATCAGGTTTCCAGTGAAGCCAATCAACTGGACACTTAAGTACAAAATAAAGAGTCTAATCACGTTAACATTGTTCATATTGTATACTTTTTCCACTTTTCACTTGTCACATTTCAGCCTCTGACAAACAAGTCTCCGAGATTGTACGCAAACCCTCTGGAGGGCGCAATAAGTCCGCTCTAATTATGGAGGACCTGAATGAGCTGTATCGCAAAAAGCCAGATAGACTCTCATCCAAGAGTGTTTCTGTAAGCATTTTTCTTCGGTTAAATTGTTTTACTTTTGCTAAATCAACACTTTCTGTCTACTTGAATGTATCGTTAACTCTTCTGCCTGGCCTTATTGATTTGAGAATCACATTTTGCGTATGACAGTATAGATAATGCTTGAGGCACTTTAAAATCTCTATCGTTCTACACACCTTTTTTCCTTATCACATTAACTTGTCCAGTTCATTAATTAGTTTATGCGAAATATCTATTATTTTTTAATATTGTAATGTTTAAACCTCTTTTGTCAGGTTTTATCTGTGTCATCTCGCTTATTCAGCTTTATTGGGACAAGCAAAAATGGAGTCTCCTCTTCAGTTCATCTATGCGTATAGTAGCATCATTGCGAACTGGCCAACTTTGGCCATAATCAGAATTATGATGACTACACGGCAAACATATTCAGAAGAGAAA